GTGGGGGAACGCGGGGGGGCGGGTCGGGGCATGGGAGTGTCGGGCTGGGGGTGAGGGGGTGGGGGATTGTAGCTCGGATAAGATATTTTGGAGATATTTGGATGGCGAATGAAAAGTGGTTGTGCTTTGAAATTTGGGGAAAATTGGGGTGGTGAGGGGGTGAGAAACACGTCGGCAAAACAATGGATCGAGTTGAAATGGACTCATCGTGGCAACCTCTTTGATGAGAACGTAGCAGCTCGGGGCATGGGGCAAGGGGCGCTCATCTGCTCGTCTAGACGAAGACGCGAAGGACGCAGAAAACAATGACAAATGCGAAGAGCTGAGCAATAAGGCCGCAGCAGGCGGCAAAGATCAGCGAGGGTCTTTGGGTGGGGCGGGAAGGCGCGACAAGGCAAATGACGAGAACAAGGCCAATGGGGCCGAGGAGGAGGCCTAGGATGGCGCTGAGGGCAACGGGCAGGATGGAAGTGGGCTTGTCGGAAGGCGCGGGCAGAACGTGCGCAGGGGTCAGGGGGGGTGCGGTGGACATAGTGAAGTTGAAGTTGAAGGGGGGCGGGAGGGGGCGGGACGGGGTGGAAGATGGTAGGAACGTCAAGAGGGATGGTGGGTGTGCATTTTGGAGGCGGGGGTGGTGATGGGGGAGCGGTGGGGAGCAGGGAGAGGGGAGGGTGGGCGGGGAGTCGGGATTCGGAGCGCAAGGCTGTGCAGTGACCGTGATGTCGTGTTATGTTTCTGCCACGTCTGGGAGTTGACCCTTGGGGGAGGAAGGGGTATTGGTATCCGGGGTCGTGAGCGGTTACTGTAAGGAAGGTGCGATATGGGCGGGAAGTGGACGGCGTGCGCATACGGACCTAGTTGTAGGGCCAAGCGTGTCCAGCAATGTAGGCTTCGGGGCCCATGCTTTGCGGTGTGAGGGGGGAGGGAAACGCACGCCAGCGGGGAAGCAACAGGCAGCCCTGGCAGATGCTACAAGAAATATCAATGAAAAAATGGAATTTCACCCGCACCTCGTCCTGCTACAAGAAATATCAGAGCTCTACCGCACGGTATATTACCCAAGGGTACCTTGGTACCGTACCAGTGTCTACCCCAACTGTATGTATGACCGTACTTGCATCTACCCGAATCCGCTGTATTAGCCCCCCCCCCCCCCCCCCTTTTTTAGGCTCGCAGGTAGAGAGCAGCCCCCTCAAATCACCTCATATTGGAG